ATTTCTAGAACACCTTATTTAGTTTTTGCCACACTCTGGTCTCTGTTCAAGATTCTATCAATTCTCATTTTTCAACTATATATATATATATATACAACCTCTGAAATATCCATCTTCAATATTTCCCTCTTGTTGAGCCCATAATTCTGGCTACTTACTGTGTATATCCCCTTGATGCTTTTGTTGCCACTGAAACTCAACAAGATCTCCTTGTCACCTATTATTTTGTCAGTGGCTCCATTATTACCCTAGTTCCCTAGACATAAGACCTTTTGTTCACCATAGTAACCTATCACTGCATTGCATGGATTATTCCATTTCATTTTGTTTTTAATTTATCTGTATTATTTAGGACTTTGGTTTGGTTTGGCAGTTGTCACAAAGTCTAAAAATTACAGTGGGTTAAACACAATATGGGTTTAGCTCTGTCTCATGTACAGCCCAGCTACATGGTATAGGGGTGGTGTAGGGGCTTGGCCAGGTAGGCATGCAGGCTTCTTCCATCTTCTGCTTTGTCTTCCTCAAGTTATTGTCCTTGTCTGCCTAGTAAATGATGGCTCACCCCCATAGATACAGTCCAGTTTTTCAAAAAGGAGAAATAGAGGAGAAGTGGCCCCCACTCCCTCTTTTAAGGTACAATCTAGAAATGAAATACATCACTTCTGCTCATGCCTAGATGACCAGTTCTAGCAGTGTGGCATCTCTGGTAGAATGCCAGACTTCATAATATGGTCTTTAACTGTGTTCCCACTAAACTTTCCACTTCTGTAGAAGGCAGCGAGAATCATTATTGAAAACCAGTCAGCAGTGTCTACCACACCTACCTTACTTTTGTGGGCCTTTATTTTCCACTGCCAAGATTACTTAGAGACTTTTAGCTTGAGATACCATTTCCTGTCTCTCCATCCTCCCATTCTTCCTTTTAAAGAACCAGTCCTCCCTCCCAAGTCTCTACTCAGTAGCTCACAGCTTAAAGTCTCTGTTTCAAACTTCTTGATAATATTATTCTATTCTTTCTGCTTTTAGTCTTTTTTCAACTTTAATTATTCAGGCAATGTGTGTTTACAAACTCTTTAAGGTCATAATAATTAAGTTCTTTTGTTTAATCTTACCATTGCCATACTTCAGAAGTTAAGAGTGTCGTAAGAATGGTGTTTTAAAACTAAGCCTTTCAGTTGAAGTGGTTGATTTGCTTTGAAGAATCATCTGATTTTCACCTGACACACTTTGATGTTCATATTTTTACACATTTTAAATATGATTTGCTTTTAAAGCAAAACAAAAATAGAATGCTTATTGAAGTAAGTATAGCTCGATTAATTAGCACATTAAAATTGTAAAGTAGTTCAATTTTGAAGCTAGACTGAGCATTGCCTCATGTATTGCAGTTTTTAGTTGCTTATTTTCTCACGAACAACTTAACTTTCATGCTCAGTCCTACAGACTCAGTGTGAAGGTCTATATTATAGGACACAGCCTGCCTGGGTTGTGACTTCCAAACTACATTTTCCATTCCTTCAACAACCCTGTATATTATTAAGGTACGCATTTACATAACACAAGTGAAGTGGCAGCATTGTTATGTTCATATTTCATTCTTTCAGAGAAGTATAGGACCTTGTCCATTGCTATAGGGTAAGCTACATGAAACTATATTGTATATGTGCAGAGTCAAATATTTAATATTTTGATATTTTGTTCATCATCATAGATTTTTGCCCCCGTTTTTATTTTGTAAGATTATAGAATAGAATTAAATTTTTATTTTCCTTGACTTAGGAAATACTGTGTTTTATTTTTCTTGACTTGGGAACCACCTGAAATATTATATCTGAGGCATACTGTGTTATTCTCTGTGCAGATTATTTGCAAATTAACATGGTTGACTGCTTGAGTGATTAAACTTTCAAATTAGAAAAGGTATAGTTCAAAGAGAAAAGAAGTGCAAGTCCTATCAGATTATAGTTGCATTTACTTTTGCCACTGATACCAGATTGGGGTATGTAAGGAAGCCTGTTTGCAAGAACAGATCAGGAATATCAAAAAGGAAGATGGACAAGAGCCAGGATTTTAGCCACTTTTTAAACTGCCTTGACATGACTGTTCTTATTTCATCTTCAGTGTGAGAGTTTCACCTCTAAAGGGCAATGCAGCCACAGCTCTCAGCCTCTCCGTGGAGTGGAGTGAGAATGTCAAACGCTACTTTTATTAACCAGAGAAACTCTGCGTGCATCTATTTTATACATTGGCCATCTGCTAATGTATTAATTTAGGGAAAAAATGATTCCTCAGTTAAAAATTGTTTGCAAGTCCCTGGCCTAGAAGATTTTGAAGGTCTTTAATGATTCACAGTTCTGAATGTACATCTGTTTTGATATGATGAATTTTAGATCTGTGCACACCTTGATCACTTCCCCTAGCTCGTCATGCAATACTTTTTGGTGAACCACCATGGGTATCTCCTAGTTACTATAAATGTCACCAGATCTTCTCTAGAGTTAACTGTATTTCTAAGAGGGATAACAGAGAGTAACTTAAACCTCCTGTAGCAAAAATGTCTTTCAAATTCTATCCAACATTGAAATTTAGAAAGTAGAGTTCAACATCTAGCTATATTTATTGCTTATTTTTTATTTCTGCTAATATATTTAGTATATACCTATAATAATTATAACATAAATAATATTAGTCTTAGCATGTGGTGCTTATAATTTATATAATATTAATAGAAGATATGTACTCAAAATTTTTGTTGCTAGAGACATGCTACTATTTTTGAAAGCTTCTCTTTGATTACTTAAGTTTTTGATAATTAAAAATTTAAAGGATGAATAGAGATTCTCAGTCTCTTAATCTTTATTTGCATTTAAGTTTAGTGTAGCTCCTATCTTCAAAAATCTATGAATTTCATTTTCAGAGTCATAGTTAAATTTGAATGTAAAATAATCTTTAAAGAAATGGGAAGGAAGATAACTATTTCACTTTTCTAGTTCTTATTTTTAGTTCTAATGCAAGAATAGAGATAGGTAGAAATTGTAAAGGGAAGACAAACTTAATCATGGAAAAGGTATTAAATGTATAGGGATTTTTAGAAGTTTCTATTTTAAAGACAAAAGGCAATGTTAGTAAACAAAAAACTCTGTTCTTGTTTACAGTTTTTACTATATCTTTTCCAAGAGCTAATATACAAATAGTTGAAAAATTAGGAGTATGTGTTCTTAATTTTGTTTTCAAGGATGCATATTTAAATTATCATACATGAAATTTGAGCTTATATTTTTTATTTTATTACTACTTCTAGGATATATATATATATATATATATATATATATATATATACATATATATATGTGTGTGTGTGTGT